GAACAAATAATGATTACCACCTCCCTCAAATCTTCCAGCGTCTCATTCTATTTTTTCAGTTCCATTCCTATGGTATAGAATGGTGTTACTAAAATAACTATGAAGGCATATGCATAAGCTGGTGGGTCTTTTCTAAAGTTATATATATTTAGTTTCAACTTCTATTATCACTCAACATTATTGAAATAATGACTTCTTTGGTATATTTTGTATCTCATTTTATGTACACTAAATTTCATCTTTTCATTGTTTTAAATTATTTTTATTTTTATTTTTCTGGAACTTATAGACAAGGTGAAAATTTTGGTGGAAATAAACACCTTAAAATTTGTTCACTTGAGTGGCAGAATAGGAACTCAAATGTTTTTTATATCTAATTCAAATTATTTTTCTGCAAATTAAGTCTTCATCCTTAAGTTGTATGGAAAAATGAAAATAATTTACATTATTTTCTAAAGGCATGTGCCAATATAGAACACATCAAAAATTCTGGAATAGATATATTTTCTTTCAAATTCCATATTTTATACTTCCCGCATACTTTACCTGAAATGTGTCTGAACAGTAAAATGAAAGAGACTTTAAAAATTATTTGTAGCCAGTTTGTGCACTAAAACAAATGATCTCTTTCTAAATCTTGGTCTTAAAATTTATGAACAAACATAAAACTAATTTATACAGGCATAACTATAATCATAAATTACACATCTCAAAACAGTTACTAGTCTTTACTTTTCCTTACAACCAAACTCTTCCCCGTCCCCGGCCATGGGGCTGCCCAGGGACAATGCAGCTGGTGGAGGACGCACCTAGCGCCCCTGAAGTTTGGCCATTTCCAATGCTAATAACTAATGAGTCGTCAGTTTTTCCCTATTTGCTGCAGGTGCTGCCACAGGACATCCAGAATTCCAGTTTTCAATTATGGTGATAGCATTTACCTTCAGATGCTTTGGTATTTTACAGCTTTTACCATAGCTGCATCAGCTTACAGTTATTATCATTAAAGTTCCTGACCCAGTGATTGTCTGGAGTTGGGGGTCTGTTTGTGTGTTTCCACAGGGAGAACAGCAGCCGATTTGGATTCCAAAGAGACTAACTAAAGTGACTTCTACAGACCAAAAAGAAGATGATTTAGCTCAAATCCATAACAGCTGATATCCAGAACTCCAGTTTAGCTACATCTGCGACAATGGTTCTTCCATACCTGGAAGCTAATGAATAATGAGCACCATTAAGGCCTATTTCAAATGTAAAAACCTTGAGGCTTACTTGTGGGAATGCCTTCAAACCCATATGCAAGTTACAGGAAGAAGGAATTACAGGTACCATCATCACAGCTGTTGCTGTTTCTGCTGTTGCTACTACAGCTTCTTCGATAGCTATCACACAAACTGTACAAACTGCTGCATCAATAAGTACATATTAATGGATTCCTCTGCTTTGAGCTGCTTACAGAACTTACCTGGACTGTGTATCACTTATATGCATTATGAACTAATCTATTGATAATTATAACAGTACCAGGGTATCTTTGCTGACGGTGTCATCGGTGGTACAGTTTTTCCAAGGGTTTCTCTCTTAGAGTCATCATATGGCTTGGTATCCTGACATTTTGTATCCTCCTCTTTCTGCTTGTGGCAGATTGTTTATGGTGTTTGTGTAAAAACCACTATGGTTGTTATCCACAAGTATGGCTAAATAATGCTGGGCTGGTAGTCAAAGATGGGTAAGATCCAATTGCAGTGGTACCAACCTAAGGCTGATGATTTGAGGTCAGACCATCCAATGACAGGTAAGGACCATATGTAGTATTGGACAACCTAAGAAAGGCACTGTCCCTAAGCCACATACTTGTTGTTTAATAAAACAAAAGGGAGGAGATGTTGGGGATGCAAATCAAGTCAAGAAGGTGCCTGGCAGATTGCCAGGAGGAGTGGTTCGTGAAGCAACGCTAGCCATTAAGATTGTGGGGATTCCTTATTGGCTGATACTAATTGAGTCAAGCTGTGTGTAATCAGTTAGGTATATATATACCTCTGCTGTCCTGCATTAAAGCGGCTCCCACTCAATAAAGCAGTTCCCACTTGAACCTTCAAGTTGCTTGTCACCTCCCGGTTATTTGCCCAGCTGGACTGTGGCAGCCATAACCAACTGGCCTTCATTTACCACTCAGTTAATACCCTTCCAGGGATTAAGTCACTGATTGTATTAAGGCTCTCATAACCCAATGATTTCTCGTCTAAACCTTTTTGCATTGTCTCACACATGAGCTTTTGGGGGACACCTCACCTCCAAACTATAGCACGCTCACAGTCTTCAACTAGGTCTCACTTTCTACAATTTCTATCACTTCTAAATAATGCTATCAGGTATGACCCCACCAATGGATTAATCCTCATGAGCCAATTAGCCTCCCAAAACCCTACCTGTAAACATTGCTGCACTGGGGACCAAGATTTCAACAAGTGAGTTTTTAGGAAACATTTCAGATCCTAAAAATAATACCTGTAAACACTGGAAAATCATTGATGCTAAGTAATACCACAAAGCATAATATTATTTTACTGGTTAGCTAGATACATTTAAATAGAAAAGACCCAGAGAGCATCTATAATTGTAAAACAGTCAACAAATAGCAGTGAAACAAGCAATAGAATTTCTCTCTCACATACACATGCATACAGATATACATACTCATTCACATGCACACAAATATGGAATTCTAAGTAATAGATTACATTCACTATATTTTATGGCAAATACTTTCAGGAAAAGTCAAGATGCAAAAGCTCCATATCCTTAAATTGTTTCATTAATAATAATTTAATGTTTATACATATAACCATAAGCAAAACTTTTGCAAAACATCAGATATTAAAACTATCTTTTGAATTTGAAAGCATCATATTTATGCCTTTTGTCAATTTATTTTTCTTGTGTTTTGACATTTGTAGGTACAGTTAAGGAATCACCATCTTTAAGTGCAAAAGATATTTTTAGAATTTGTATTTAAAATAACATCTGCAAATAAAGAAAAAATAAAGAGAGATAATGTTATGCAAAAATATTCTCCTTGCATCTTTGGTTGAGCTTACCATTATTTTATTATTTAGGCAGAATGTCTATAGAGAAATTCACGATTATTTGAACTGTTTCTTCTGCTTCAACAGCTTTTTCCTTTAAGAATCTTCCCAAGCTGTCTATCCATAGTGGTTTCTACAGCAAGAAAAATCTGTTTCAATCTGTCTACATATTTAATGGGTGATTTTTTTGATTGTTCTGAGATATAGCATTATAGCTATGAACAAATCTACCCCCAGGTAGCTTATATTGGAGTAAAAGAAATAATCAATTAATATGAAAATGAATACATGATAAGGTGAAGCATAGTTATAAATTATAAAAAAAATCATATAACTGTTTTGCCCCAATCTTTGCATGTGTCTAAAATCAAATGGTTAGCCACCACAAGAAAGTCATTATTTTACCAACTAGTATGAATTTAAATATATGCACACTACTTTCCACGAAGTTATCATCTTATTGGGGTAAATGTAATGTGTTCCTAGAAATATACAAAGAATTTCAGCACATTTCCCAGTGTGTGCATTTCTTTAAAAGAATCTCTTGTTACATTTATTGATATTTTGGTATGTTGTGTCACTATTCTCATTTACTTCTAAGCATTTTTAAAATTTCACCCCTGATTTGTTCAGCTATCCATTGGTCATTTAGAGCATATTATTTAGTCTTCAGATATTAGAGTAGCTTCTATTTTTTTTAAATTTTTCATTGAAATTTCTAATTTCATTCCATTATGATCTGATAAGATGCAGGGTATTATCACATTAGTAAACTTAAAGACAAGAGTCATATAATTATCTCAATAAATGAAGAAAAAAATTGATAAAATACAGCAACCATTCATGTTCAAAACAGTAGAAAAAGTGGGGATAATAGAAATATACCTCAAAATTGTAAAAGCTACATGAGTTAAACCCAAGATCAACATCATTCTAAATGAAGAAACATTGAAAGCATTCTCTCTAAAGACTGGAACTGGACAAGAATGCCCTCCTTCACCACTTTCTATTCAACATATTTTGTGAAACTCTAGCCAGAACAATTAGACGAAAGAAAGAATTTAAAGGGATACAAAAAGGAAAAGAGGAACTAAAACTATCCCTATTTGCTGACAACATGATTCTGTATTTATAAAACCCCCAAACCTCTGCCAGAAAACTTCTAGAACTCAAAACAAATTCAGCAAAGTAACAGGATATAAAATTAACATAAATCAATTGTGTTTCTATACACCTAAGATTAATCAGCTGAAAGAGGAACTAGGAAAAATATTTAATTGACAATATCCTCAAAAAATTAAAATACTTGTGAATCAATCTAACAAAAGAGGTGAAAGACCTTTACAATGAAAAACTACAGAACACTAAAAAATAAATTAAATAAGAGCTTAGAAGATGGAAAGATCTCCAGTGTTCTTGGATAGGCAGAATTAATATTGTCAAAATAGCCATACTACCAGAAGTACTAATTCCGATTCAAATTCCAAAGATGTTCTTCATAGAAATAGAAAAAGCAGTCATGAAATTTATTTGGAAAAATAAGAGGCCCAGAATAGTCAAAGCAATCCTTACCAAGAAAAGTGAAGCAGGAGGCATTACAATACCAGACCTTAAATTATACTACAGAACTATAATAGAAAAAATGTCATAGTATTGGCACAAAAACAGACATGAAGACCAATGGAACTTGGAGAAAGCACAGAGATAAACACACACACACACAGAGTTATCTCATACTAGACAAAGTCATCATAAATATTCATTGGAGAAAAGATAGTCTCTTCAACAAATGGTATTGAGAAAACTGGAAATAAATATTTAACAGAATAAAATTTCACCCCTGTTTCTCACCCTGTACAAAACTCAACTCAAAGTGGATCAAAGACATAGGCATTAGACCAGAGACCCTGTGCTTACCAGAAGGAAAGGTAGTCCCAAATCTCCATCATGTTGGCTCAGGAAGTGACTTCCTCCACAAGACACCTAAAGTGCAAGAAGTAAAATCAAGAATGAAGAAATTAGGAGCTGGGATTGTGGCTCAGCAGTAGAGCGCTCGGCAGTAGAGCGCTCGCCTAACATAGGCGGGACCCAGGGTTCGATCCTAAGCACCACATAAAAATAAAGGCATTGTGTTGTGTCCATCTACACCTAAAAAATAAATATTAAATAAATAAATAAAGACTTTAATTTAAAAACAAATAAATGGGATGGTATCAAATTAAACATATTCTTCACAGCAAAGGAAACAATCAAAGGAAACAATCAAGGGCGTCAAGAGAGAGCCTACAGAATGGGAGGAAATCTTTGCCATCTGCACCTCAGAGCATTAATCTCCAGGATATACAAACACTTAACACCCCAAAACAAAAACAACAACAACAACAAAAAAACAACAACAAATAACTCAAACAATAAATGGGAAAAGGAACTGAACAGGCACTTCACAGAAGAAGAAACATGAATGGTCAACAAATATTGGAAAAAATGTTCAACATGTCTAGCAATTAGGGAAATGCAATTTAAAACTACACTGAGATTTCATCTCACTCCAGTCAGAGTGTCAATTATTGAGAATACAAGTAAGAGAAATGTTGATGAGGACATGGGAGAAAAGATATACATTGCTGGTGGGACTGCAAATTGGTACAACCACTCTGGAAAGCTGTATGGGGATTCCTCAGAAAACATGGAATAAAACCACTAATTTAACTCAGTTATGGACTCAGCACATTTTAGTGAAATGGTCACATCATTTGTGTATAGCAGCTTAATTCACAATAGCTAAGGTATAGAACCAATCCAGGCCCTTCAACAGATGAATGGGTAAGGAAAATGAGCTCCATATACACATGGGAATATTAGCCATAAAGAAGAATGAAATTCTGGCGTTTGCCAGTAAATGGAACTAGAGACTATCATGCTAAGCAAAATAATCCAATCCCCCCCAAAAATAAAGGCCAAATATCCTCTCTGATATGCAGGTGCTAACACAATGGGGAAGAGGAGGGAAGAACAGAAGTTCCATGGATCAGACAAAGGGGCATGAAGGAAAAGGATGGGGGATGGGAATAGGAAAGGCAGTAGAATGAATTGGACATTACTTTCTTATGTTCATATGGGAATACAAGACCAGTGTAACTCCTAATCATGTGCAAACACAAGAATGAGAAGGTATACTCCATGCTTGTTTGTTAAAATATACTCTATTGTCACATATATATATAAAGAACAAGTAAAAAAATTACAAACTAAAAACTCTATTGTATCCTCTACATCCAAAGTACTTCTTCAGCCTAAATATGCTTCCTTCCCTCCCTCTCCCTCTTCATTCCATCATACCACCTGTCTTGGTCTAAGAATTCAAAAGTGAGAAGGGTCATGATTTCCAAAGAAGAAATGATAGTTGTATCTTTCTTGGAAAGAGGCCAACTTAATTTGATTGATAGATTTGATAGTAAGGACTGGCTGTACCCACTAAGTTATATAGTGAACTTTTTTCATAAATTAAATGACCTAAATCTGTAACTCTAACAGCTTGATTAAAATACACTTAAAAACCTAAGCAACATATAATAGGCCAGAAAACTTTTTCATTAAATCTTCAAATTGTCCAGGGAGATAGACATGTTTTTAATAAACTAAAGGTATGCTTTCAAAAATATTTGGATACCATTGTCATCGAGCACACCAACATCAAATTTACAAATGTTTGACAAAACTTTATCCTTTCTTAAGAGGGGCTACTTGCTTAACTATTAATATAGTCCCATCTCTGTTAGGGCAAAGATGAGTTAGCATTTTCATATTAGAATAAAAATTCTTTGTTCGGATGCTTGAGTAAACTTTCTTAGAGGTAATACCCAAAGCCTTTAATTCTTGAGTTTCTCTGAGGAAGGATGTTTCTGATTATGCAATGAGAAAACGTCTTCATTGATGTGGCATAAGAAGTCCTTATTGGCTTTTTAAATTGCTGCTTCTGCTCAATTCTGCATCTTTTGTTTCTGCATTGAGTTGATCTGTAGAGCACTCCCAAGGAACTTTCTACACAGCTCTAACATAGAATCTGCTTCCAGGGAACCCTTACACATTCTCCTTGGGTTTACCTCATAAATTATTAAAATCTGGTAGTAGATTTAAGAGCTACATAGGACATAGACCAATTTTAATAATTAATGGGGTTGTACATAAGAACTGCAAAATTCTACCAGACTATTATCCCTTATCTACCATTGTCTAATAACCCTATCTCCTTCATCATGCCTGCTGTGTGAACTACCAAAATTACTCTCTCAAAATTTCAACTAACACTTAACTATTTTAAGATCTGTCAACCAAATCTCATTACTAGGGGAAAAAAATCTAACTCCTTAAGAAGACATATTATATTCTGTAGAATCCAGCCCTTCATATTATTTTTCTATACTTGAATAGTCCTGGACCATTTGTAGGTTTCTGTGTATTTGATGCTCTTTCACTCCTCCACTGCTTTGTGCATGGTTTTCTCTTAATGTGGAATTCCCTTTCATTTTTGTCCACCTCTAAATTCATACCCATCCTGCAAGAACTGAGTGGATGTTTACTTCCCTTGGGGAGCCACAGGCACACTTCATCTCCCCTCCTCAAATTGGTGCATCATGTATCAGACCTGCATGGTGTTGCATTCTTTTCTTTCACTGAGTACTTGACTATAATACTATTGTTTTATTCATTTTTTCCCCCTTATGGCACCTGACTCAATAGATAACTTTGAAGAACTGATATGAATTAAAGAAATACTGCTGATGGATTAAAAAACAAAACTAGCATTGGAATTTTGTTTAGTTGCTATGTGGGATTTTTCTGGAGGGCATTGCAATGAATCTCCACCAGAGGGAATATTCTTTCCAGCAGACTTCAAACAATTAAAACCCAATGCTAAAATACTATTTTACAATCATTAGAAAAGAGACAATGGGAGGTAATAAAAAAAATACAAGTCATTGTTTCTGCCCTCAGGCAGTCTATAATTTCAGGACTAAAACAAACAGACTTAATAATTATAAAAATATAATGTATCTTAACACATCTAAAACATTTTTGAAGAACTTTTTAAACAGAGTCAAATGATGTCTTCAAATCTGAAAAAAAGTAAATAAATAAAATTATTCATAAACTGCACTTTGCTCATTTGATCTCCTTGACATGTCCTGAGTTAGCTCATGTTTCCTCGACTGTGCAGATTAGAGAATAATGCTTGTCATCATGACTTCCAAGTGGGGTTTAGGACTTGAATGCAGGGCTTTGCAGTTCCTTACTTAGAAGCTTTTCCCCAATAACAATCTATATAAACTTTCTCAAATTCATTTTACCTCATTTGATGCCAGTTTACTCTGTCTGTATTATAATTTTAATGATTTTTATCTTCTCCTTTAATTTTTCAGTGCTAGGAATCCAAGCCAGGGACTTACACATTAGGCAAGCACTCTACCATACAGTACACATTTGGTCCTGAAAATATCTAACTTTTCATAGATTCTCTGTCTTTGATTGTCTACATTCCTTTCTGAATTCTGTCCTGAAATGCCTACCAACTTAGAGAATTAATTTTTAACTTGTTCATAAAACATAAAAATTGTACCTATTAATAGGGTAACATGATATTTGATACATGCATACACTGTGTAATGTTTGAATCAGGTTAAACATACCTATTTTCTCAAGCATTTATCATTTTTTTATGGTGAAACTTTCAAAGCATTTTATTCTACCTTTTTGAAATGTGCAGAGCATTATTTCTATCTATAGTCACCCTTCTGTGCAATAGCACACTAAAACTTCTTGCTCCTATTTAACTAAATGGAACTTAGATATATCAACATTTTCCCATTCTTCCGAACTCCTTCCTTGCCACAGTCTGGCTGGGCACAAATGCCGCAGTCTGGCTGGGCACACAATCACGAGCCACCACACAGCTTGTAGATTCAAACAGCAACTCTTTATTCCCGAACTCACACCAGCCGTCTACAATCACGTTCTGGGGAAATCCACGTTCTCTTTCCAAATCCACCTCTCTGCCCAAATCCACCACCACTGGGCTTCTATCTCCAAAATATATTGTCTAAATCCTGTGAGAACTCAAGGGGAACTCAGGCAGCAGGATACGCCCTATTCCCAGCAGGAATAATCTTAAACCTTAAACCTGGAACCTAAACCGGGAACGCCCTAAACACGATTATCTTAAAACCAGGAACACCCTAATCTGCCTTGGTCCTTGAGCAAGGTCACGTACATTCAATGTCACTGCAACATGGGGTACGCTGGCAAGGAAATTGTCATACCTACTTGGCTAATGGCTCCCAGCACTTCCTCCCATTCTCACAGCCAATAGCAACACCATTCTGCTCTCAATTTTGATGAAATAAACCTTTCAAGGCTCTGCCTATGAGTAAAATCATGCAATACTTGCCTTACTGTGCCTGGTTTCTATCACTTAATTATCTCAAGTTTCATTCATATTGTTGGAAATACGAGGATTTCTTTATTAAATGAATCATGTATGTACCATTGTGTATATACACCACATTTTTTTTACTCAGTACTCAGTTTATGGCACAAGTTATTTGAATTTCTTGGCTATTATGAATAGTGCTACAATGAATAGAGTAGTAATGTCAATTCTTTGTGCTGATTTCATTTCCTTTGGAAATATACTACATAGTGGAATTGCTAGATCATATGATGGTTATGTTTTTAAGTATTTGGGGGGTCTCCACACTGCTCTCAATAATGACTATGATACTTTATATTTCCACCTGTATGTAAGAGCTCCTTTTTCTTTCATATCTTCAATAATATTTGTTGTTTTTAGTCTTTTTCATAATAGTCATTCATACTGGGGTTTGGTGATATATCATTGGAATTTTGATTTGAATTTCCAGGTGATTAGTGATACTGAACATTTTTTCATATATATGTTGAACATTTTTACATCTTCTTTAGAGAAA